ACTAGCTCTGACTTAACTATTAGCACATTTTTCTGTTAATCTAAGTATTTCCATGTGGTCTTGGCTTACTGAGAATGCCAGACTTGCATATCTCCTTTGCCAAAGTCCCTGCTATCAAATGAATGGTGTACACAAACAGCTGACTAAAACAGCAGTCAATTTTTTAACAATGTTGGTGTTTAACAGATAAAAGTTAAAAAAAATAAACAGTAAACACAGATTAAATAAAGGTAAACCTCTAAAGGTTTACAGTTTTAAAATATACATAGGCTTGAGAGAGAAAATAAAAAGGATATTTGGTTAAAAATAGAGGATCTGGGTGTGATGGCACATGCCTTTAATCTCAGCACTCAGGAGCAAGTGGATCTCTGTGATTTCAAGGTGAACCTAGTGTACAGAGTGGATTTCAGGACAGACAAAAGTTATACAGAGAAACCCTGTCTCAAAAAAAAAAAGTAAAAGAAATAGAGTAATAAAAAAAAGCTACTTAAAGATGGGAAATACACAGAGAGTCTGGATACTGTATGCTATTGTGTTGTCTTTGAATTGTTTGACTGCTGAGAAGATAGCAACAACTGCTAAAATACACTTTATTACCAACATTGCTAAATTAATTCAATTTATATATTTAAAAAATACTCTGACTTCAAAATTTAAGTATAAGGACAGGTTACTGGGGAAAGAATTTCTATTTTTATTTCCACAGAAAAAGAAAAGCAATGGATTCCTTCCAGACTAACATGGTTTGATCAAGCAAGGCCCCCTGAAATAGTGTCCCAGATGATCCAACATTCAAAATGCTTGGGCAAGGCAGCCTTGCAGACTACAGCCAAGATTTCTATATCTTCTTAGGATTCCCAGCAGGAAGCAGTTTGGAAAGAACAATGCCCAAATTCCCAAATATTGTTTATAAATGTTTGTTTTCATCTAAATGAGGTTGGTTATAAATGGTTAATGATCACAACCAGTTCCTTTTAAAGGTAAAAAAGGGATTGTACTATAGAAATGAATACTTTGTTTTGGAATGGATTTTATTTTTTGATACAAATTTAAGGTAAATTTTGTGATATGTATTTTCCTCTTGTTTATGTATTGTGTTTATATAGTTTAAAAATATAATGTTAATATAGTACACATTGTAGATAGTTACCTATGATAGTCAAACCTTATAGTTTCTAGATATATAGATTTATATATTTCAAATGGGTAGGCATTCTTCAAACCTTTCAAAGACCTTCAGAATATGGCATTTAAAATGGTTTAGGGTTTTTCTTGACAGTGAGACATAAATGCTCCCAGGCAACACCATCTGCATCAGAAAGGAAAATGGACATCAAAGACTCTCATTATGGAGTTTACTGACAGTATGGCAAGACTAGCCATTTTGTCAAGAAACTGCTCTTGTCTGGACTCTTTGACTTTATGCTATATAAATTGGACATGCAGGACCCACAGAAAAGTGACTGCTGAAACAAGATGGACATTGCTACAGGGTTCCTGCTTCATGGAAGAGTCTGCCAGACAGTCTGCAGGACACAGAGGAAAGTGACTTACAAACTGCCAATACAGATGGACAGTTTAAAGTTTCTTGCTTTGCTGAGGAGTCTGCCAGACACATTATTGCCTATAGGCTGAAGAAGTAACATTACAGAAGAACTTCAGGTGACTTACCAGGTGAGTTGTCTCTGTCATTTCTAGAGTTTATATACTATCCTTTTGTGGTCTTTGATGGAGTTGAAGACAGATAGTTATGGTTATAGTTTTCCTTAGTTAGGATTAAAGATAAGATATATATATAAATAATTTTAGACTCCCAAAGATAGGATAGCTGATAGAATGTTTTCTTTAATTCCTCATAATGTGAATGGACTAAATATTGTCAACTATAGTTCTTATTTGTAACTATTTTGTTATATATTTTACTATGTTAAAGTTAAAACCCTTCTTTTTATTTTAGACAGAAAAGAGATATTGAGATATGACATTCTGTATATATATTTATCTTATTGGTTAATGCATAAAGCCCTTTTGGCCAACAGGAAGGCAACAGTAAGTGGGACTAGGATACAAGGAGGGTTCTGGGAGGAGATACATTTCATAAATTCAGGAAATGAACAGTAAGAATTACTAATTCATCTGGGCATTGGTAGAGCATGCCTTTAATCCCAGCACTTGGGAGGCAAAGGCAGGTGGATCTCTGTTAGTTCAAGGCCAGCCTGGTCTACAAAGTGAGTTCCAGGACAGGCTCCAAAACAATACAGAAACCTTACCTAGAAAAACCATAAAAACAAAAACAACAAAAAACAAACAAAGAATTACTAATTCAGGGAATAAAAGATGAAATCATATTGTTGTGAAAAACCTTTTTTCCCCATTAAATATTAAATTTAGATAAAGAAACTTGGTAAGAAAGTTGTTTTCAACTTTGCAGTCTCACTACTATTAGACCATATCAGTCAAGGCACAATATACCCATTTTTAGAGATAAATATTCAACAGTAGTGCTCACCATTGAAATGGGCTGAAACTGACTAGAGGTCAGTGTCCTGTCTTTGGTTCATGTAAACTTAGAGATCTTCTTTAACAAGTGTGTGTGTGTGTGTGTGTGTGTGTGTGTGTGTGTGTAGCAAGCAACACACCTATTCAGCAACACATATGTTCACCCATGCTTAGGAAAATTTGTCTTGTAAATTCAATAAATATAATTAAAGAAACAGAGGTAGAACTTAAAATATTAAGAATATCTAATTCTACTATCATTTTATAAATAAGGAATTAGTGACAAATTGGGCTTGTTAAAATTCTCATAGATATTCATTGGGTTAAATATTAAAGTGTTGATATTTTAAAAATTACTTTTTTGGGGGCAAGGGGGTGTTCATGACAGAGTTACTCTGTGTAACAGCCTTGGTTGTCCTGGAACTTGCTCTGTAAACTAGGCTGACCGTGAACTCAGAGATACGCCTGCCTCTGCCTCCCAAGTGTTAGGATTAAAGGCGTGTGCCACCACTTCCCAGCTTAAAATTACTTTGATTCTATGTGGAGGTTTGTTTTGTCTGTGTGTCTGAGTGCCACTTGCATGTTTGGTTCAATCAAGAGTCAAAAGAGCACATCGGATCCTGGAATCCCCTGAGGCTGAAGTTATAGATGGTTGTGAGCCACCATATCTGTGCTAGGAATTAAACCCGAGTCCTCTGGAAATGCAGCCAGTGCCCTTAGTCATTGAGCCATCTTTCCAAAACCTTAAGATATGATTTTGGTGACATTAAGAGAGGCAGAGGTAGTGACGAGTATTAGTAATATTTATTTTCACACATTTTGATCTAGAGTTGCTACTTAAACCCTTGGTGGCCCAGGACCTAGTCCTTACTTTCTTGTTGTGAATCTCATCAACTCTTAAAAACAATAACAAAAACAAAGACAAAACAAATAAAGGAAGGAAGCCTATTACTGAGGAAGCAGAACTAGAGGAATATTCAGGAAAGCATTTTCCCATGCCCTCCAGGAGAGGGCATGCTTCTACCATTTTTGCTGTCTAAATCAATTATGTAAAGGTGTATCTTTTTGTTTTTGTTTTGTTTTCCCCAATCGCTTTTTTTCTAGAAAGGGGCTTTCGTTCAGTTGAGATTTGAACTGTGTCATACTTCAAATTATTTCACTTCATGAGGTTTAGTAGAATTGGATAATCTCCATGAAATCCCCCATAAGATCCTCAAAGTCATGGACAGTTCCGGGCCCTGGCCAGAGATCTGCTTATCACAGCAGGACCACCCTGAGTCCCTGCCTGCAGGATCTTTGACCCCCATTGCTGGGCCTCTCTCTGTTAGAGGTGAGTCTGGGACTACTTCAGGTTGAATTTTCCCCACATCCTTCCCTGGGAACTCCCTGGATTGGCCCTGAATCTCGCTTCCCCCTGTGTCCTGTCCCCACTGAGAGTTCTCCTGGTGCTATGATACACACCCACCCACCCCCACCAAGAGCTTGCCCTCCCTCTACCCTGTGCCCTACCCTGCCCACTGTCCCACAGCTCTTGTTGAACACTGGGGCAGAGGACAGATCCAACAATCCTGCCACCTTCGGGGAACTTACTGGAGCTGCTCTGAGCACAACTAGACCTGCCTATCCACAAGGGACCACCCTGAATCCCTGCCTGCAGGATCTCTGACCCCCCACCGCCAGTATTCTGCTGGAGGTCCAGGCCCTTCCCAGAGATCAGCCTATCCCTGAGAGACTATCATGAGTACCAGCCTGCTGGATCTTTGACACCCATCGCCGGGCTTCCGCCTTAGGAGAGACTTCATAGAGAGAGAGAGAGAGAGAGAGAGAGAGAGAGAGAGAGAGAGAGAGAGAGAGAGAGAGAGAGAGAGAGAGAGAGAGAAACCCCAACTGCACCCACTGGAAGAAGCAATGGGAAGACAGCAATACAAGAAAACACCCAACAATAGAAATACAAGCATGACACCACCAGAATCTAGTGACTAGACCTGAACACACCAAAGTAGATGAAGCAGAAGAGAACGACTTAAAAATCTCTTCATAAAAATGATAGAGGCCTTCAAAGATGATGTGAGAAAATCCCTTAAAGAAATGGAAGAAAAAGCAAACAAAAAATCGGAAAAAAATGAACAAATATTTTAAAGAAAATACAGAAAGCCAAGAAAAAAAAAAAAAACAATTAAACAGGTGAAGGAAATAGTTCAATACTTGAAAACTGAAATAGAGACAATAATGGAAACACAAACTGAAGGAATGCTGGAAATAGAAAAACTGGGCAAATGATCAGGAAGTATAGACATAAGCATAACCAACAGAATACAAGAGATCTCAGATGGTGAAGATAAACTAGAGGAAATAGATTAATTAACGAATGAAAATCTTAAATCCAACAAATCCTTAACACAAAACATCCAGGAAATGTGAGACATCATGAAAAGGCCAAACTTAAGAAAAATAGGCATAGAGGAAGGCGAAGAAGCCCAGCTGTAGAGAGCCACCGGTACCATTCCCGAAGATGGCGCTGGTTTCCAGTCCATGAGCCAGCAAGGCACAGTTGTTTTCCACCCCAAGGATAGCAATGCGCATGCGTAATACACGTCATGGGGGTGTTTGTCATGAGTATCGTGGGCTGCACCAATCAGTAACAGACACGACTCCTCTGAGCATATATAAGCAGAGCCCTTTTTCCTCCTCGGGGTCCTTCCTCATCTCGTGGTAAGAGACCCACAATAAAGCTATGCTACAAAAGAATCCTGTTGTTGAGCGCCGTTCTTGCAGGCGAGGCAATAGCACTCGACACCCAGCTAAAAGGTGCAGAAAACATATTCAACAAAATCATTGAAGAAAACTTTCCCAATCTTAAGAAGGACATGCCCATGAAAATACAAGAAGCGTACAAAACACCAAATAGACTAGACCAAAGAAAAAAGACCCTCCCGACACATAATAATCAAATCACCTCATACAAAATAAAGAAAGAATATTAAGAGCAGCGAAGGAAAAAGGACAGGTAACATATAAAGGCAGACCTATCAAAATTACACCTGACTTCTCCATGGAAACTCTCAAGGCCAGAAGGTCCTAGATAGATGTTCTACAAGTACTAAGAGTCCAAGGATGCCAGCCCAGGCTACTATGACCAGCAAAACTGTCAATCACTATAGACTGAAAAACCAAGATATTTAATGACGAAGCCAGATTTTCACAATACGTATCTACAAACCCAGCCCTACAGAAAGTTCTGGAAGGAAAATTCCAACGCAAGGAAATTAACTACGCTCACAAAAACATAGGCAATAGATAATCCCACTTCACCAGAACGCAAGAGTAAAGCAGGGCAAATATATTCACAATACCACTGCCAACAACAAACCTAAAACAAAGAAGCATTAACAATCAATGGTACTTTCTTTCCCTCAACATTAATGGTTTTAGCTTGCCTATAAAACTACACAGGCTAACAAAATGGATACAAAGCCAGACTCCATCATTCTGCTGCATACAAGAAGCACATCTAAGCTTCAAAGACAGACCTCAGAGCAAAGGGTTGGGAAAAGATCTTCCAATCAAATGAACCCAAAAAGGAAGGAGGTGTGGCTATCCTAATATCTAACAAGTTAGACTTCAAAGCAAAATTAACCAAAAGAGATGAAGACGGTCATTTTGTATCCATCCATCACAGGAGAAATCCATCAGCACAAAGTCTCAATTCTGAACATCTATGCCCCAGATACAAAGGCACCCACATTCATAAAAGAAAGGCTACTAAAACTCAAAGCCCACATGAAACCTCACACACTTACAGTGGGAGACTTCAACAACCCACTCTCACTGCTAGACAGGAGCACCAGCCAGAAAACTTAACAAAGAAACAAAAGAACTAACAGAAGTTATATCTCAATTGGGGTTTAACAGACATCTATAGAACATTCCATCCAAACACAAAATAATATACCTTCTTCTCTGCTCCACATGGAACCTTCTCTAAAATCAACCACATACTAGGCGACAATTTTCAGGTCATACTTTGAAAACCTGTACCCCACAAAAGCCTTCCAACCAAAAAAAGCCCAGGGCCAGATAGCTTCAGTGCAGAATTCTGCCAGAAATTAAAGGAAGAGCCAATACCAACACTCCTCAAATTGTTCCACACAATAGAAACAGAAGGTTCATTACCAAAATCTTTTTAAGAGGCCACAATCACCTTGGTACCCAAGCTACACAAAGTCACAACTAAGAAAGAAAACTACAGTCCAATATCCCTGATGAACATCGATGCAAAAATACTCAATAAAATACTGGCAAACTGAATCCAAGACTACATCAGAGAAATCATCCACCATGACCAAGTAGGCTTCATCCCTGGGTTGCAGGGGTAGTTTAACATATGAAAATCTATCAACATGATCCATCATATAAGCAAACTGAAAAAGAAAAAACACATGATCATCTCAGTATATGCTGAAAAGGTCTTCGACAAAATTCAACACCCTTTCATGATAAAGGTCTTGGAGAGATCAGGGATAACAGGAATATACCTAAACATAATAAAAGCAATATACAGTAAACCAACATCCAACATCAAACTGAATGGAGAGAGGCTTTTATGGCAATTCCTCTAAAACCAGGAACAAGACAAGGCTGCCCTCTCTCTCCATATCTCTTCAATATTGTACTTGAAGTTCTAGCAAAAGCAATTGGACTACAAAAGAAGATCAAGGGGATACAAATTGGAAAGGAAGAAGTCAAACTTTCACTATTTGCAGATGATATGATAGTTTACATAAGTGACCAAAAAAAAAAAAAAAAAAACAAAAAAAAAACTCTACCAGAGAACACCTCCAGCTGATAAACACCTTCAGCAAACTAGCAGGATACAAGATAAATTAAAATAATCAGTAGCCCTACTTCATTCAGATGACAAAGGGGCCGAGAAAGAATTCAGAGAAACATCACCCTTTACAATAGCCACAAACAATATAAAGTATCTTGGGGTAATGCTTACCAAACAAGTAAAAGACCTATATAATAAGAACTTTGTGTTTTTAAAGAAAGAAATTAAAGAAGATACCAAAAAATGGAAAGTTCTCTCATGCTCTTGGATAGGTAGAATAAACATAGGAAAAATGACAATCTTGTCAAAAGCAATCTACAGATTCAATGCAATCCCCATTAAAATCCCACCACAATTCTTCACTGAACTTGAAAGGATAATAATCAAGTTTATGTGGAAAAAACAAAAGACCCAGTATAGCCAAAACAACCCTGTACAATAAAGGAACTTCAGGAGGCATCACCATCCCTGACTTTAAGCTCTACTACAGAGCTATAGTTGAAAACAGCCTGGTATTGGCACAAAAATAGAAAGTAGACCAATGGAAGAGAATTGAAAATACTGATATTAACCCACACTCCTACGAACACCTGATTTTTGACAAAAACAGCTAAAAGTATACAATGGGAGGAGGAAAGCATCTTCAACAAAAGGTGCTGGCACAATTGGATGATGGTGTGTAGAAGACTGCAGATAGACCCATGTCTATTGCCATGCGCAAAACTCAAGTCCAAATGGACCAAAGACCTCAACATAAATCCAGCCACACTGAACCTCTTAGAAGAGAAAGTGGGAGGTACCCTTGAACAAATTGTTACAGTAGACGGCTCCCTGAACGCAACTCCAGTAGCACAGTCACTGATATCAACAATTAATAAATGGGACTTCCTCAAACCAAGAAGCTTCTGTAAGGCAAAGGACATAGTTGACAAAACCAAATGGCAGCCCGCAAACTTGGAAAAGGTCTTCAGCAATCCTACTTTTGACAGAGGGCTGATTTCCAAAATATACAAAGAACTCAAGAAACTAGTCACCAAAACACCAAATAATCTTATTAAAAAATTGGGTACAGAACTGAATAGAGAACTCTTAATAGAGGAAATATAAAAGGCTGAAAGACAATTAAAAATGTGTTTTGGTAGATATCCGAACTGGTGAGGAAAATGGTGTAGTTGGATTTTTCTTTGGTCCACAAACTCACAAATACTGCCATGGACACTTATTATTAATTATGAAAGCTTGGCCTATAGCTTATGCTTGTTACTAACTAGCTCTTCTAACTTAAATTAATCTACATTTTACCATGTGGCTTTTTACCTTTCTTTCATTCTGCATTTCTGATTTTTTCTTCGTTTTCTTTGAATATCTCTGCGTCTTGATTATCTCCTCTTCACCGGAGGTCCCACGTATACTTCCTGCCATGATATTGGCTCTTCGGCTCTTTATTAAACAGTCAGAAGACACCTTGAAAAATATACATCTTCACAGTTTAAACAAATGATCTGCAACACATATGGAACAAAAGAGGAAGCATTATAATATTATCACATCAAAGAAAACATTCTGCACAGCATAGGAATCCAGAGTCATTACATAAGCCACAGAATGTAAGAAAACATTTTGTAAGCTCTCCATTCAATAGGGAGTTACCATACATCATTTATAAAAAAAACTCAAAGAACTAATAAAAACAGTAACAATATGCCTCATCTCTTAGTTTGCTTTTTTCTGGCTGTGATAAAACATTGACCAAAAGTAAACTGGGAAGGAAATTGTTTATGTCATTTTTTATTAATTTCATTTAAATTAAAACAATCTTATTTTACATAGCAATCCCAGTTCCATCTCCCTCCTGTCCTCCTACTCCTCCCATCTTCCTAACCTATCCCCATCCACTCCTCAGAGAGGGTGAGGCCTCCCATGGGGAATCATCAATGTCTGTCATATCATTAGGGGCAGGACCAAGAACTTCCCCTGTATTATAGAGAATGAGCTCCAAAAAGCCCATTTGTGCACTAGGGATAAATACTGGTACCTCTGCCAGAGGCCACATAGACTACCTAGGCCTCCAACTGACACCCATATTCAGGTGGTTCTGGTTTGGTCCTATGCTGGTTCCACAGCTGTCAGTCTGGAGTCCATGAGCTCCCACATACTCTGCTCACTGTTTCTGTGGTTTTTCCTAGCATGGTCTTGACCCCTTTGCTCATCACTACTCCCTCTCTGCATCTGGATTCCAGGAGTTTGGCTCAGAACTTAGCTGGGCCTGTCTGCTTCTGCTTCCATCAGCTACTGGGTGAAGGCTCTATGATGGCATTTCACCTCCCACCCCTGCACCCATAGCTATAGTCAGGACCTCCCTTTCTTAGAAAAATGACCAAGGAACAAAAGAAATCCAAGACATATCAATATGTTCTATAAAGATAGAAAGTAAACATGAACATAAAGATAGAAAGTAAACGTTTTATTATATGAGAATTTGAATAATAACTAACTGATTTGGCCTGGGCATTTTTTCTTGGGCACTTTGACCATTAAGAGTTAATGATACACTGCATGGGACACGGCATTCTGCCTGGGCTGGCTTGGCGATTTTCTTTCTATATAGCATTCTCAGAGCTGCAAAATCTGGCAGCCTGAGAATAGGTTATTATATGCCTATAGATTCTTAAAAATTAGGATATGGGGTTGAGTGAAAATGATTGTAAAAGTTAACTGTTTATCAGTGATGAGTAAACTTGAGGAAATCTAT